TTCATATACACAGCGTTTATAGTGCTCAGATAGCACTTGTGTTCTGCCACCAGGTTCTATACCTATCTGCAGAAATAATAAATCTATCTATCTATAGCACTACAGAACTACTAAGGTACATGGAACAATAAAGGAAGAATTGTTTTGGAGCAGGATTCACATTTTTTCTCACATAGAATTTACGCAACTAAAGAAGTATTATTTTCAAAAGAACCAGTAGCTTGTACCTGAATCTTAAAATGGCAAACTAATTCCGCAATTAACATAGATTTTGTGCGAGAAGTGAAGAAGAATAGTAAACAATTTCATCGTCTCAATCAAAAGCACATCTGATCGCACCAATCGCGTCGCTTTTTGAATCCAGTTTATCGCCCAATTTCTCAAGAGACTGTCTCATCTATCCCTTCATTCACACCTCTTGCATCCCTCTGGGAGACGGTACCGTAAATGTCTATAGTTCGTTTCGTCGTGTGGCCACAGGCATCCTTCGGCTCTGATCCGGCGCGCGCCGGCTCTTCGCGCCTGACTTGCGCTCTTTCGAAGTCACGGGCAGCGCCCGTCACCTCCACGGGCATCCGCTCCCGGAGGGCGCTGCTCTCCCTAAAGTGCCCCGCGTTACCACCGGCTGCAAGTTTAAAGGCGAACTCTGCCAGCCCGCAACTTCGCCCGCCCCGGCCGCGCCGCCTAACCCTGCCCCGTGTTCTTGAAACCTCCCGAAGCAGAATGCTCCATTAGAAACTGTTAGAGACATTAGAGCACAAAGTATTTGGGAACATCACTCGTCTCAGCGGCGTGAGGGGGTGAAACATCAAATTGCGCTCAACGATTTTATTTTATTTTTTTCTGTTTGAGATGAAACATAGGAAAAAATTTTTAAATACGATTCTTTTAAGATCTGTCCAATATTAGAACGAACACTTTATTTACATTTGCATATGTTGAAAAGTTGCGAATAAAGAGTATTTTAAAATTAATAAAGTGTGCATGTAAAGAAAATTCATTTTTTTCATAAAATATATTATTGCTGTTAAGAGAGTTGAGTAACTTTGTCTACAAATATTATGAAGAATAATGCTTTTTTTTCTACTTTACAATTAAGTAGCCAAATAAGAGGAAAAATTATAGTTTCCCACACGGCTCAAGAATGAAAAAAATCATAGTCTTTCAATATTTTGAGAGTAAAAATGTGGTTCACAGAGTTCCTAAAGTTGGCAAATTTCAAATAGATTATAATTAATACATTTTATTCATTTGAAACAAATTTAACTCGTTAAAAACTAGGAACTATTAGAACTGTTAATCAAAAAATGAATAGCCGTCATACAGAAGACAACAATATATAAGACGCCACACCTGTAGGGAAAAATTACTTCAATTTCCTAAAATCTCGTCTATTCAGAATTGACTGAATATTTTATTTAGTACATAAAACCATTTTTAATGCATCAAAGCATGCATTAAAATTCTCGCCCACGTTTATGGGTGAAACACACAGTAAACACAATTTAAACGTTTTACAAAAAGTAAACTAATTGAGAGTTAATTTGCAGTTTCGCTATTTAGTTGAAAACTGACCTCAAAATCTCATCCAGTTTCAAAAACAGTTTAATGAAAAGAATCGTCACTGCTTGCCGCGTCGCCCGCACACCGAGGCAGGCTCCTTTTCTTCCACCAGAAACGGTTTCCGAACAACCTAGGCGTCAACCGCTCGTCGCGACTGTCCTTTTGCCGCGAGAGGTGCCCATCGCGTCGTCCGGGATGTCTGTCACGTTCTCGCAAAGAGCGCGCTGCCCGTCCGACCAATGCGCACTCCGGTTGCACAGGCGCACTGCCGCCCGGCGCGACCGCTGCGAAATGACAGCTGCACTCTCCTCCAAGGTTGGGGTGGGGGTGGGGAGGAGAGACGTCACAGCTACGCTACAGGACTATAAGAGGAGGGGGAGGGGGAGGGACGCACGCCAGTGGCGCCGCCGACGGAGGTGCAACGACCACATTCTGCCTTGCAGATCTGGGATAGAGGCACATGCATCTCCATCAGTTCAAGTCGCGGATATGCATTTTAACGCGCTGCATTATGCATGTCGCTGGAAATGAAACGGACGGGATGGAACAGCTGCAGCAGAAATGGGAGAGTTCTGGAGAAATTAACTCGGCGATCGTGAAGGGCACCGGAATGTATGATGGCTTAATACCCATTATCAGGGATTTTTTTAAATCTTTAGCTGCTGTCCCTGTATATAAATGTCAAGAGGCACTTGTTGAAATGTATCTAACGTTTCTGTGTTTTCTGAATGTTTTTAATTATACTTTTTACTAACACTCCCAAAGTGTTCTTCTGCGTTTGTTAACAGTTTGGTATATTCAATTGGCATATTTTTTTAGGAAGCTGAAAGTCATGAATATTATTTATGAAGAGCTCTTCGATCGAAATGTATTTCAGTTTACTACAGATATTCGTTGTAATTTGAATTTTTGCGTATTTAGCTTTGGATAAAAAATCAGGATTATTCATTAGAAAACTGAATGTTCATAATACATATTTGTTGTCATTTAGACTTAATATAAAGTTGAATACATTTCAATGCTATTGAAGAAACGTTGGAGATATTCTTTCTCATAGACCTAAATTGATTAACTTTGATAAAAAAGGCACGAATTCTACATTATTAGTTGAATCCAGAATTTATCAACGTCATCAAGTACACCAGTCAAATGAAAATAATCAAACTGTAAGTGTTGGACTTTGGAGTGCAATGCAGCAGGTTACCGTTGTCAGCTGTCTTCTTATAACAATAGAGTATAGTACTAAAAGACCGCGAGTTATAATTGTCAGTTGTATTTCCCTAGCAACGTGGTATTATGATAGAGGACCCTAAATAAACAAGCAGAATGCTTTGCGTGGTCGTGAGACAATTTTGAAAGCTTCTCAGTTTCACGGGAATATGGGTTTATGCAAATGTACGCATATTATGCATTTGTACTAACAACTTCTTGTGTTTAAGAACTGGTAAGATGCGAACTGTAGACAGAAGTCTTAAAATTAAATTGTTATTTATTTTGCTGTCGAGAAATTCCATTATTTTTTAAAGAAGAAATAATCGGCGGGAAGACGATGAGAAAGTAACTGTGAGGCTCCGGCTATTGAGACATAAAGAGCCCCCTTCTCCACTGGTAATGAACGGGTTATTCTATACCTGCTTATTGCTAGGGTTAACTCGATTACCAATAACACATACAACTTGTGAATGCTCAGCAATTTCATTAGTGATTTGCTTAGAAACCAATATACATACATGTAATTAATTTTTAATTGCATTTTACAACGTAATCAAATAACGTCTGGAATTTATCACTAGAGAGTGACATAATTTTTCAGGACAATACTTTCTCCTTTTTTTCATCTTTCTCATTTAATTTTTTACTTTTCTTCTCTTTAGTACAGGGTGGAAAGTAATCGAATATCCTCACCAATATGAACTCGAATATCTGTCATAAACTCCGTTAATGTTCTTTTTGGTTGTAATTTCGCGCGCACGTCAGAATTACGGTGTATTAGTGCTCTTCCGAAGGCGATTAAGATTGGTGCAGGTGGAGAGAAATTACATTCAAATTTCGTACTAAATTGGTTTATGTACCGGTATTTATGTATATGTATGTATGTATGTATGTATGTATGTATGTATGTATGTATGAATGAATGGATGCGTCACGCCTAACTGAATTAAATTAGAAGATTTGGGTCTGAAACTTAGTAAATATGTAATTTCTATTATTCCGGTTTGGAGATCATCAAATTATTTTGGCTTTTAGGGGTTCTTCAGAGGAAGTCCCTAAGACAGTTTCAGCACGGCTGAAATCTTCTTCTTGCATTTTTTGGTAATGTAGAAGAAAGTGAATGTATAAAAACGGTATAGTTCGGATTTTTATTCAAACCTCTTACATTTAGAAAAAAACTGCAAACACCTCTGTATTTAAAACACTATGGGTGTTTGTTTAGAAGGAAATTGGAGCTGTCTCTTCAACCAAATTTCGTAAATAATGCTTTCATGGAAAGGTACCGGGCTACAGATGATTAATATATTTTTAATTTTCCCCGGTTTTGTAGTATAAACTCTAAATTTTCATAAAATTATAAAATTAATAAAATGAACTCTCATCTGCCGTCATCTCTTTAGTATTTCATTGTGTGAGTTGTAATCGATCTGTAGATACGATTTGACAACTTTTCCATGTGAGTATAAAATTTTGTTATTTTTGTTTGAGAAGTTAACGAATCGATTTTTATTATCTTGAAAAGTGTTTTTGAATACGAAGATTTCTGAGTGTATTTCCTTTCACCAAAAAAATCAGTGATTATAATAATATGTGATGCATTACATTTTTTATGTAAACATAAAACATTTCCACCACATTTTCAGAAGAATGTTGAACTTTAGGAGCATAGTGAATACTTATTGTATTGTCTCAGAAAGTGTATATCTTTCTTGTTTAATTTGTCTTCGAGACTTAACACGTAAAGACAAAAAACAATGTTTTAAAGGTTTTTAATATTTCGTAGAGGAAATAAGTGGTACTGTTCTAATTTTCCTACTGGCAGATTCCATACATCTTATTTTCGGCGCGCATTCTTGCTGCTTGATACTTTGAGAAATGTCCCAACAAACAAGACAAAGACCATTAATAATGAAAATGTAATGACTATCAATGAAAAATCTAAAGTAGTCTGGTAATGACGCTTATTTTAAAGCTTTTATTTCGTTCACACAATTTGCAGATCGTTTTATAATAAAACATCTAAAAATATAAAATACGTTTTATCATAATAATGAGCTTATAATATCATGTACCAGTGGATGATTTGATAATATCTATCCATTAATTCCATTAATAATTTAAAAGTGTGAAATAAAAAGCGCAGTAATTTCATTATCGCTCCCTGCAATTCTACCGTAATCGGAACAACCGTGTCTTGAGCGAGTTGGCGCGCGCACGGTGCTCACCGTCAATACCGAGGGCCTCGCAGCGCCACACCTGCCCGAAGCAGCCCTCTCCCAAGATGTTGAACACTTTGAGGCGGTGGCGCGGGAACTCCCAGCGGTCGGAGGGCTTGCCGTCCACGGAGCAAGCAGTGGAAGCCGAGCCCACGGCGTCCCCCGCCACGGACGCCTGCAACAGCCGCACACAGCGCTTCAGTCGCAAACAATTGCTAGCAGAGGGCGGGGAAGCGAGAGCAGTTGAAACAAACGGTTATTGACACGCAGTGTCTTAATTCTTTTGCATTTATTGAAACCAAACATTTGCATAATCATAAGAATCAAGAAATGAACATGAAATGATTTATTTTGAAATAGATTTAAGACAATATTAATTGATTAAGAAGTTTGTAAAAAATGGTCACTTTCCAATACGGAAAACAAAAAAAGAACTATTTGTTACTACAATACACTACAATATATAATTGTTACTGCAGTACGAGTGAGACGAATCTAGTATTCGTATTCATGTGACGAAAAGCAAGCGTGAATGTTGGAAAACAGGGGTGTAACATAAATAAGAAATATGGGAACAATATTAATTAATAGATGATTGAAAAATAGAGTAGCAGTAAGAGAAATAGGAGACAAGGGAAGAGATTATTATTACTTATATTATTATTATTATTATTATTATTATTATTATTATTATTACTAATACTAATTTTAACGATTGTTAATCAAACAAATTTCTTTATTTGACTCAATCATATTTTCAAGAATGTTATCATTTATGCTAATCACACCTAGTTTCTATTGGCATCGTGTACATTGACAGGGCGAGAATACGACTAATCCATTCACCGGAAGTGAAATTGAACGTTTTCGAACTTTGCTTCGTGAAGAAGAAGTGGAGAAAGAGAGTGAGAGATCGTAGTTGACAGCACCTGATAGTACAGATGGGGATTTTGTAGGTCCAGAACACTACCTGGGACTCTCACTGCCTCTTCACTGCAAGAAAAAACGGTCGCGGCACCCGGGATCCTCTCGACCGAAACGAATCATTTGAAGACCCGTTCTCACAAGAAATTTGCATCATTCAGGAAATAAACTCAGGTTCTTCTTTCCTCACAGTGTTTTAGTTTACGTTTAGCAAGTCATTGTACTTGTCTGTGACCTCACGATGGTTCAATTCAGCCAGTAAGAAAGGAAGGCGAATCATTATCTAACTCGTCAGCGAAATATATTATTTCTTTAGGATTCGTTCGAAATTCATAAAGCGATAGAACATTTCTTGTTCTCATTTAATAGAGTGTTTCTAATGTAATAGAAACTATTTCTCAAACAAGAACTATACTAACTCGTGTTTTTTAGCAATTTTGTGTACAGTGTTTATAGAACTATAATGAATTTTTCTGAAAAAGCTGAATTTTGTAGATAATCGTAATCCAGAAATACTAAAAGCGTTAGCGTGCAAGTAAAATACTTTTATCTCACTGTAATAGAAAATACTCATGGCATAAAATATGCAGTTGAAATATTAAAGCGAATGTGAAATTCTCTGAAAACTTAGGCTTCAATTTGAATGAACTGAAAAGAGAATTATACTGGCCCGAAAACAAATACAACCTCTACTTGCATTCTCATATTTATACAATCCACACATTACATCCAAATATCTGGAATCAATACAGTAATTATATTAATTTGAAGCTGGGATTGAATTCAGAAAAAATCTAAAGTTGTCATAAACTCACATTTTTTTGTTTAAAAATTATACTTTGCCAGAAGGTATTCGGAAATTTACTTATAGAACTTGTTCCATGGTACTGAAAACGTGTGACATTACTATTTCTTGGAAGAGGTATAAGTTTTCCAAATATTCCATATTTATGGAATGATAACTTGCTGTAAAATTATCTGCTTTCAAATTTGTTTAAAAATAACTATTAGTACTCAATACTTAAAATATTATTTAAATATATGCTTTTAAAAAGTGCGGCCGACGTATTTCAAAATAATTGTAGAACGATAACGATATTTGAATTTAAAAACTAAAAGGGATACATGTTTCTTGATCACATCTACTCTGAAAAAAAATGTATAAAAATTTTTTCTATTTTTCTTCATTCCAATAAAGTTTGTTTGAAAAAAAATTATTTATAGAACTTGTCATAAGTTTTCAGTAGTATAGAACATTACTATTTCTTGGAAGATAGAAAATGGTAATGTACTGAAAGCAGTTTCTTGAAAGTCCATTTAGATGATTGCAAGCTGAATACAGTCTCCTGAGATGAAATATGTTCCACCCTGAAGTGCTGAATAGAAGAGCGCAAAGTGTATGAATGTCCTACCATTATCTATCTACATTCTTGCCTGCCTACATATGTACAGGTATGAGGTTTTTGACACATTTGAACGTGCATTCTCATTTAAAGTTAAAACTACTATACATTCTCTCTCGAAAAAGACATACACCACGTTATACCGCGGTCAGTGAAGAAAAAATGGCGAGATTAAAGTAGAATACATTATTTGCAAACGAAAACTGAACGAGCAAATGAGATGTTTAAAAAACAATGGAAGTCCAGAAAAGGTTAATGTAATAAAATATTAAAATACGCGGTGATTATAAGCAATAACAAAGTACAATTTGGTTTAAAACATACTAATAAAAATTTTCTATTAGAATACTCACAAACACCTCTGAAGTATAAATATATTCAGGAGTGAAATAAATGTATGGGAAATAAACCCTTACAATTTAAAAAAGCAAAGAAGAGAGTTGTGCTAGAGGAGTAGCAAGTAGGTTCTCTTCAAAAATGAAAGTTTGTATCATCCCTGTCTCTTTTTTCTCTTGTAAGCATTATATATTCCTTCTTCTTAAGTTAAAAAAGACTCCAGGAAAATCCAGGGAAAGTGGCGGATCGTTAAGGGAGGCGCCACGGGCCTGCTGGGGAGAGCGAGTGCGGGCGTTGGTGACTTCTCTTCTGACCGGGGTTGGTTGGTGCCGACTTGCGAGTGCGTAAGGGCGAACTGTGAATCGCGTGTTTGCGTTCGTGGGTGGGCAGGGATGAGCGTGGGTGAGTGGTAACTCATCTGCTGAGTGGGACGGGAGAGTGTGAAGTGGAGAGAGAGAGAGAGTGATTACGAGCATAGGCGTCGGTGTGTGGGTGTGGCTCACCTGCTGGGCGGTGCTGATTGAATGCTTGCTGGGCAGAGCGCGAGTGCGGGCCGCGGAGAGCGTAGGGCAGGCCGGGGAGAGCTAGAGTGTGGGATGAAGAGAGCGTGAGTGCAGGATGGGGAGAGCGAGCAAGCAGCCTTGGGTGACTCTGGGTGGGCATGGCTCATCAAGTGGGCGGGGCTATTGAGCGGGGACCGGGGAGGGCAAGAGCGCGAGCTGGGGAGAGCGTGAGTGCGGGATGGGAAGAGCGTACGAGAAGTCATAGACGACGGTGTGTGGGCGTCGCTCCACTACTCGTCGGGGTTGTTGAGTGTTGGGTGAGGAGAGCGCGAGTGCAGGCCGGGGAAGTACACGATAACAGATCGGCAAGAGCGAGAGTGCCAGCTGAAGAGAGAGCGTGGGTGTCGGGTGTGGAGAGCGGGCAAGCAGGCATGGCAAGCGGTGTGTGGGCGTGGCTCACCTGCTCTGCGGGGCTGTTGAGTGCTGGTTGAGGAGATCGCAAGTGCAGGATGGGGAAACGCGAGTGCAGCGCGCAGAGACTGCGTAGTTTGTCTGAGGGGGCGCAAGTGCAGGATGGGGGGAGAGCGAGAGCAGGATGGGGAGAGAGCGAGTGCAGGCCGCGGAGAGTGTGTAGTTTGTCTGAGGGAGGTGCAAGTGCAGGACGCGGAGAGCGCGCGTGCAGGATGGGGAGAGCGCGAGCGCAGGATGGGGAGAGCGTGAGAGCAGGCCGGAGAGAGCACGAGTGCGGGCCTGGGAGAGCGGGAGTGGAGGATGCAGAGAGCGGGTAAGCATGCTTAGGCGGCGCGGGGTGGGCGTGGCTCACCTGCTGAGCGTTGGAGTCGCGCTCCCATCCTTCGTAGCGGTTGCTGTGCGCGCGCGGGCCCCGCCAGTGGCGCAGCGCTGTGGGCTCCTCCAGCACCAGGCCCCCGGACGGCTCCTTCCGCTGCACACACGCACACACATTACCTGTACTGCTCTCAAAGCACGCACTTCACAACATGGCACTCGGAAATGGTCAGTTTATTTACACGTTCGCTCACCCAGGAACCATACATGATGCAGAAGAATTATTTATCCCAAGCCCAATCCATTTATGATTCTCGTTGTGGAACCTCTCTTAATCACATTTTTACAATCGTACATGCGTCTTCCGATTTTAATATTTGATGAACTTGCTCTCAAGAACACAAAACATTCAGTATGTTTTCTTAAACGACTTCATATTTAATTAATGTAAAATTAATCATTTTTATGTGAATAGGCCAACTTGGACCACGGGTGCATGCACCCTGCATTTATCGGGGCTAAGTACCATTACCTCGGTGGCCGCTACATGCAATTTATCATAGGATCAGCATTTAGCTAGATCCTATTTTTTTCCTCCGGGGTTTTTACCCCTGGAGGTATGGAAAATAAAATGATAGTGAGGGTTTAAAAGACAACACACACACACACAGATGTACACAAACACAGCTATGCCCGAGGCGGGGCTCGAACCCCAGAACTTCTGGTCCAAAACTGTAACGGCACTACTGCCTTAGCGGTATCAACCATCTGCTCGGTCAATTAATGTTATTATTTTTGTTTGCATGTTTAATGTCTCCTGATATTTTATAGAAACAGCAAAGTATTAATAATACTATTGAAGAGTTAATTATGCCAAAGTGGTATATGAAATTGACTTTGTTTCATAATACACGTGAACGTATTTCATCTTTTAAGTGGATGAAATGTTCCATCTTTTAAGTGTATGTTCAAAAAAGTAAATACAATTAGATTTTATGTAGCTTCTTCCTCATTCCCTTTCACCCTCATTATGTAACCTTGAATGTGACTCAGCATTACCTGCCTATTTCGCTGAAACATGTGGTGGCTGGGTAAGCGATGGTTCACTGTATAGCCGTGTGAACATTCAGTACTCATTACATGTAGGTTTTAGAAGTGAGGTGTTTGCTGTCAAAACCAGCTCAGCCTTTATTTCACCAAAATTTACTTCTTTACACTAATATGTTGTCGGCTGCTTATGCTTTGATTATTTAAAAGTCAAATTTAACTTCTCTTTAAATCCATAATTATAAGATAATATCTTTAAAATATTTTCAAACGTTTAAAATAAAGTTGAAATATTTATTTCTTCAAGTTATTTGATTAAATACAAATACTATAGTTTTCAGTTTGCCTATTCTTTACTTCTCACTGCCCTGCCTCAAAGTGATGCAACTACTAAAACTAGTAAAAATTAATATTTTTATGAGGAAGTGAGTCTATTTAAAAACGAATTACCGTTTCGTTATCGCAGGCAACCTTGTATGTTGTCGTCGCGGAAGATAAATTGAAAGAGAAACCACTCCAAACCTCAGTGTAGAATCAGGTCCCAACGCAATCAATAGGGCTGAATAATTTAAGTCATCACTAATCCGTGTTTTCACTTTACCGGAGTAAATAATTAGAGTAGATATTGGTATTTATAGTGATATAGTATTGACTTCTCTTAGACACAGATGTACGTATAACGTGGAAAGAACTTTTTAATGGTGTGATTTAGACGGTGTTTTGAAAAACATCAAAGAGCAATTAGGAAATTCATTATTAATTCACACCTATTATATTAAGAAAATATTTTTTAATGAATCTAATTCAACAAATTTTATTTATTTGATAGATTTATAATATGTTCATTATATTATAAAAAGTCATTATTTAATTCAAATTATGGCATACATTTCTTGGTACATTTGCAAATTGCGTAATCATTATGATGGTGCCTACTGCGTAGTTATTTCGTCAATCTGGCGACCTTATTCCACGGATAATTAAATCTTCCGAGTGCTAATTCCAAGCACATGGAAAGCGGATAGAGTTACGAGTTGGTGAAATGGGAGCAGCGGGAGTGGTTGTTTGTTGAAGCAACCAGGTGACGCGCCGTCCTCACCCAGTTTGCGCGCCTGCACATGCTGCATCCCGCCACACGGTCGTGTTTCACGGGCAGCCAGCAAGAGCCACTGCGAGGAACGCCGCGACGGCGTTTCCTACCTATCCCCACCCGCTGTGGGCATCGCATATATGATCGCCATGCAGCGAATTTCATTTTGCGGTGAGGACCTTGGTGTTCGGGCTTTGACGATACAGGAACGAATTGAAAGCTTGCCATATGTCGAGCGCGTTCCGAAATTCCGCGAATGCTTTTAAAGAGAACGGCCATTTGAGGAAGAATGCGAGTGATGAATGTGTAATAATTATTGTGTGATAGCAACTAATGTCAATAATATATTATGAATCATAATTAAAAATGTCTACAATTTTTCTGCAAGAAAATTTTACTATTTTTGTAAGGAGATGATAATACATTTATTTCCCTAAAAACTCTTTAAATTCCCACTAGAAAGTTCATAATTTATTTGAAAGTTTACAAATTATACTAGTGGATATAATTCAATGAAATGTAGACGATAATGCTCGTAACCAATGGTGTGATTAAATGTTTTCCCGGAACAAATGTAATCATTCGATTGGAAAGTTAATTTGCACTATTGGTGTTCGTTTTCCTTCCGTTTTACGATATCATACAAATCATAGAAAATGTCACCAACTTAACACAGTTAAAAGTAGCTAATTAATGTATATTTCACTATCATAATAAAAATTTTTCGCCGGTTGTCGCAATATCTCAAATAGTATATACCAACACACATTACTTCCTGGTGAAAACAATCGACATTGTAGAGACAAGGCATCGTTATATCTTAGTCGACGTGATCAAGCTCAAAATTCTTGAGTTCAAATGAAATTTGGAATCTATGAATTCCAAATCCATAAATGTATATTCCTTTGAATCTTATGATTTTTAATCTTCAGAGCAAATACAGATTACGATTTTATCGTGATGATTGAAAAAAATTATCCCGCTCGCGCATACACAAATTACACCGTCATATGGTGAAATAAAAACGCTCCAATCAAAACTGAAGGATAATTTTACCTAAAACATTAAAATCTATACTCCACTCGAACAAAAAGTTTCACTCAACGGAGATGAAAAAGTAATGGACATAGATTTACTTGATTCACAAAATGAATTTCATTGCATTTTCATATATAACGTTTCTTCTTCGTTTATGATCGTTCATTTATATTTGTGAGGGTATAAGGAAGCCAACTCATTAATTCTATAAAATCATTGGGGCAGCACTGTTGACACCTGATTGTGTAATTGAAAGCTATTTAAGAATACTGGAAAGTAAGTGAATGTGTCTACAGTAGATGAGTCTTCTACTTTGGTCCTATTTTCCATATACGGAAGTTAGGTGACCCATATCGGGTTTTCTTGGGATAAATTATTCAGGGTAGTTTCCCGTTGCCTTCCCTGAGTAGAAGAGTAGGTAACAATTATATTGTTGTCAGCATTGTTTCTTGTGTTTTAGTTTTTTTTGTTTTTTATCACTTCTTTTCTCTGTCCCATATTTGTGTTTTATTCCGTGTAATCTCTAGTGATTAAACGACGAGCGTTGTTAGATTTTTCAGGGTTCTTGTAAAATGCGTATATCTTGTGTGTATTCTCTCGACACAATCTGGAAAAGTACCTGATTATGCCTGTGAACGTGGTATTTTAAAATGGACAAACCTACCTGTGTTATAAAAACTCAACTAAAATCTGAACTTATTTAATAAAATCTGCCAACAAAATCCCTCTCAAAGGAGACATCTTCTAGAGATCATGATCAGAGGGTGACCCGGGTGCAAGTCATAATGACATACTCATTATTACGATTACGCCAACGAGTATAACCCCCTTCTTTTCTTCCATTAGTCTGATCCTTTTTGATAACCTTTTTTTTCCCCTTTCTCATCATGCTATCTTTCTAGTAGACTACACTTTCATCTATGCCAACAAGAATATCAGTCGTTTCCTACGTCCGCTTTTCCTGTTTTTCTTCCTGTATTTTCCCCTCGATCTCGCCGTGTCATCCTTACTACTCCTTTATCTTTTTACAACTATGCTAACAAAATTACACTTCCTTGTTTTGCTCCTTGATTCTGCTCCTTTCTTCTCAACCTTTCTTTTGCTCTCTCGTGACAGAAGTCTATTCTTAAAACTACGCCTTCGATTACACTCCTCTCCTTCCTTCACGCTGTCTCTCTACGTCGTTCTTGCTGCTGCTTTCTGTTCTTACCACTACACCAACGAGATTAACCCTTCCTTGTTTCCCACTTTGAACCTGACCCTTTCTTCTGACCTCTCTCCTCGTGCCGTTCTTACAGCAGCCTCTACCTATAACTACACCCGCGCTTATAAGCCTACCTTACACGGTAATTTTTCATCCTTTTTTCGTCATTTTTCTGTACATAAAGTGGATGGAAAAAGGACGTTCATTTCTAAGCAGTATGTTTCGGTGCTGAAACTGGACGAGAGTGATTCCAGCGTTTTACACGGTCATTTCTGTCTTTGAACGTAATCGTGATGAAAATACTTTCTCCGGACGCCGCAAAAAGCACTGAAGTTGAAACATTTGTACATCGCATCTTTGGTAACAAATTAAATTATGTTACATTAGAGTTGAACACTGAATGCGATGACATTAGAACACAGTACATGCTTCATTTTGCACTACATAATCACTTCAATTTATAATCCAACACATCAGAACGCTCTCGACACTACAAAATGAACTTTCAACAAATCGCTCCGCATAAAAAAACAGAGAAAAACCCGTAAAGTGCCGCCAGGAGCGGGGAACTCACACTGTACCGAAGAATTGAACATGCGTCATTTTTTCAAACAAATTACATCCAGACTGGTCTGCAACTTTTTTACGAAAAATAATGAAAAAAATGATGGTGGCCTTACCATGTCGTCCTTGCTGGTCTTGGCGCCGAGGCGGCGCCGGAAGAGGAAGACGCGCCGCCGGCCACGAGAAGCGGCGAGGACGGCGGCGATGGGCGGACG